GAGTTAACATATCAGCTTCCAAGACGGCGGGTGGAAGGGACAAATATAGTAATTAAAAAATGTTCTTATGCAGTCCCTAATAACTGGTGCCTTGCGGTCCTTGTTATTGGCCCTTACCCTGTTTTGGATGTCTGTTTGTGATTAGTGCGTACTAGAGGACGTTGCAATAGCCTGGCAGGAAGGACCAACTTAATTGCAGGTATGAGTCGTTTTCAGCCTTACGTGTTGTATACGTCACTTTATTTAATTTCTACTGTCAGTGGTTTAAGCAAAGATGGAAAGATGGTTTTGATGCATCAGCACTATAATTTATAAAAAATCTACTTAATTCTTGAGGTGGAATTTATTTAACCAAAAAATAGTCCTTGTGACTTTTTTCCCTAGCTGTCTGACCGTACAGATAATATGGCTATGTGCCTTATAGAAGCATCAAAGTCCTCTCGGTTTGTTTGAGTTCTTGAAGTGTTTGTGCACTTTGCCACTTGTCTCCACTTAATAACTAGGAGGACTTAGTGTCAGCTTTTTAACATTGCTGAAAAGGATTTCCATGCTGGTCACAAGAGAAGTGAGTTAGGGGGTCTTTTTTTCCCCATGTTAAGGTCACAGGACCATGATTGAAACGTTTCAACGTGCATTTCTGTTTGGCCGCCTGTGTCAAGATAATCGCCCTCTCTTGTATTTCCTCTCTCAAGTGGCTGTTCATAGTGTTCAATCCCTAAAATGTGGTGCTGCTGTTGTCCACGTATTGTTTGCTTTTTGACAGCCAATATCATCTGTGTGCAGACTCCCACACCTGCAACTTAAAAGCGTTTAAAGAGACACCCTTGAAGTATGACACCTTCTGGTTAGGCTGTTAAAACCACACCCACAATGCATTAGAAGCAACAATAAGAGTTACACTTGGTGATAGAGATGCAGTTAAAAAGCTATAACTAAGTATTGTGCAAGGCCGTAGTAGAAACTTTTACACCAGCTATATGCTGTATGTATATTTGCATTATCAGAGTTTCTTTATTCATTAATGCAGTGCCAAAAGCAGACTCCAAAGGAAACTTAATTTAATAAAAAAGTCAAACATGGAGGCAATCTCTGCTGAATCAGGAGGAAAAGCCAACTACCTTTCCAAACAGGATAGTTAGAAAAGATTATACATTTATCTTCAGTTGTGTTTCAAGAAGGAATGCCACCACTGGCCTAATGACTTAAGATGCTTGTTTTGCTTTCTTCCCCTTAACTGCATTGACATCAGCTAGGAAACAACCAGGGCAACTACCAGTTGTGTGGGCTTCTTTTTATTATTGTTGTTTTTTTCTGGCTTTTTTTTTTGTTTGAAGTTCCGAACGTCTAAAATGTGTCTTATTTTTTTGTTATCGGTTTTCTCTTCCTTTCATCTTTGAGTGTCCTGAGTAGAGGGAAGGCAGGGAGGGGGGTAAGAGTTGCATAGGGGTTGAGATAGGAGCTTGCACACCACCATGACACTGTAAAGGGCTGTTCGTGGTGGGCCTGCTGTTCACAACTCAGTTCCTCACTGTGAGGGGGCACTTGTACCAGCAAATACCTTTCGTCTCCACCAGCAGGGCCTGCACTTTATAGGATTCACAGTGGCAGCACTTTGACAGCCAGGCAGCTTAAAACTCCCTGCTTCTTCGTCAGTGCACTCGCCTGGACCCCTGGCCAAGTAGACTAGGTTTCAAGTTCAAAATCGGCCTCCAGGACAGATGTCTGTACCTGTGCTGAAGACAAGGAGGTTATTTTCTGAGCTAATGCGCAATGCCATATTTGCGTGTCAAGACATATCAGCAGCAATAAACTGCATTTATTGGTTAAAGAAAAAAAAAGTTTATTTCCACAGTTCTTGAGAGACTTTGCAACATGGCTGATTGTGTGTCCTTCCTAGTGGCCACATGTTTTGATACATTGTCTTGTATCCATCTGTCTGTTCTCTAACTATAAATGTAAGAAGGGAAGCATTGAGCTTGAAGAAGCTACATATAAAAAATGCACTTCCATGTTGATGCATCATTAAAAAGACTAGCTTTTCTCGACCAGTGTGCCTTCAGACACGAACAGTCTGCCATAGAAGTTTGGAAGAGTCATATTTATGGACAATAAAACATTGTTTTTTTTAATATATATATATGGGTTTTTTGGAGTAACAGAACTGTTGTGCTGCACGTTCAGTGTACACAAAATGGAAGACTTCACATGGAAATTGTTTTGTGGTGCAAGTTTTTCCAGATTTAAGGGACATAAAAAGTCTCTCAAAGAGGCTGAGCTCTGTCTTTCATAAGATGACTATGCACTTCTAGGCAAACTTAATTTAAACATAGAAATAAGTTGTTTATAGTATTAATAATAACATGCTTAGGCTGCAACCCTGCACTTCATCCAGTGCAGGGTTGCAGGGGGAAACGGAGCCTAACCCAGCAAGACAGGATACCCCCTGGATGGGATGCCAGTCCATTGCACACACACAGACACAAATCTGCATGCACTCAACCCAGAGCCAGTTTTTACAGAAGCCAATTAACCTACTGTACTAGCTTGTCTTTTACTGTAGGGGGAAACTGGAGCACCTGAAGGAAACCCACATGAATGCTGGGAAAACATACAAACTCCAAGCATATAGCACCCCAGGAACTGAACTTGGGGCCCTGAGGCAGCAATACTAACCACAGCGCCATTGTGCTCCCATTGTCTTACAATGTTTTATATTTCTTCATGAATCCAGTACCATCAGTACTTTTTTGACATACTGTACGCATGTTGTGTTCTGTGAAAAGTTAAATATCATTGTCCATTCCTCATGGAGCAAATGTACAGAAAATACAGTGTATAGCATGTATTATACCATAATATACAGGATGATTAGTGATTGCATTTACCACATTTGCACTGTCATTACTAATAGACTAAACATTTTATGATCACCATATATCTAATTAAAATCCCATCTAATACAATTCAGTTTTCCATGTAGTGCCCTTCATATTCACCCCAGCAGGTTTTATAACACCAAAACATTTTTATTAGTGCTTACAGATGTTCATTTCCATTGTTATACTAATGATCTCTGATGACGCAATTAGCCCATTAGGACTGGGAGGAGATGGGAGTGGTTCTTTCCCTTTAATGATGGAGCTGCTCATGAGCTGAAAGTTGTTTCCCAGTGAAGCCACCACAACCTATGGTTTGTCCAGAGACCCCATTGCTGAGAAAGCCCATGTCCAATAAGCTCCCTCCTGGAGCGATGGTTGGGGATTACCAGTCTGCCCTCGATGTTGAGGCCAGTAGGAGAAGCAGTTGTGGGGGGCGGTCGCTAGGGACAGCCGGCTCCTCTAAATAGTTGCTAGGGACCAGGTATCAAGGGCCCATAAGTCACACACAGTCACGGTCATGGAGGGAATTAAACGGCAACAAAGAAATTGTTATTCTACATAATCTGCTCTTTGGAGTGTAGGCTGAGGAGCGAGCTGGGCCCAGCAGGCTGGCCTAGCTGTGATCAGAGAAGCGTGTTGCCTACAGAGAGAGCCCTGGCCCCTGGTTTCTCTCATCTGGGAATGGACCGCAACTTCTTTATTTTGTTCACTACTAATCTGCTTTCTGAGTGATTTCTGTGACACAAAGGTGTTTACTTATTTTAACATCTCCTAGCACTTGATTTCTCTTTTGTGTGGTCCCCGGTCGTTGGGAGAGGCACCGAGTGGGGGTGGTTTTGCGTGAGGATTATCTCGGCGAATTAAGGCATTTGCTCTGGAATAAGGCCTCAGGAGTCAGACAGTAATGAGTTAACTGAGACATAAAGAAGCGAAACCAGTGTCTCCATAGCCCAGGTGTCTATTACATCCCACAAAAAAAGAGAAGACTGTTTAGACACATCATAAGAGGTTAGTATTGTAAAGCTTCCAAAGCAATTAAATAGCCATGTATTAAGAAGGTTTAATACTGAATTTTGCTTTAAATTATGCAAAGGTTATTATTAATCAGACACATGAGGGCTACACATTATTTTGCCGTGTGTGTGCTGAGCCTTTAAGGAATCAATAATGCTTTTTCTTCCGGTTTTCACAAAACATGGAATAGTTAATGTCCTTAGTTGTTCTTTTAAAAGTCTTAACTCCTTGTAGATACAGCAAATCTCAGTCTTGATTCTGATCAGAAAATGAGAACTGTGTAGAGTGAGGCATTTCCAGTTTCCTGATAAACATTTTTTGTCCTCACTGCATTAACACTTCAAGGAAATTGAGTCTGGAGAACTTTGAAAGAAACCCCAAACACACTATGAGTCAGATTTTCAGTCTGCATGATGTAGATCAAGTGTGAATGTAAACCAGCCACAAATGAGAGACTTCTGGGGCTGTTGGTTCAATGTGGTTCATTACTGGACTTCAGTTGGCAAACTATGGTGACCTAATGGACGGACCTTCCAGTGTCCTCAGTTTTCTCTCTCTCTCTCCCTCAGCTGCCAGCTGCTGTCTTGCCTGGGAAATGACTTTCGGCGGGGTGCAGGAGTCCTTGATATAACCTATGAGTCTGCTTCAACCCTCCTCTCCTGCGGCTATGACACCTACATACGGTACTGGGACATCAGGGCTAGCTCCGAGTAAGTAGTGGGGTCCAATTCCTTCCTTCAAGGAGAACTTTGTCATCTACAACTCTTTTGAGCTTGCAAGTGTTGGGCAGGTTTGTGCTATTTTTCTGAAGGTTTTTAGGTGCTGAGAGATACTTACACCTCATTTTGTTTTCCCCTGACACTATGTAGTCAAGCAGTACACATGTTGTTTTAAAGCAAAATGGGGGTATTGAAACTTGAGTGACCAAATGTAGACCTACATGTGAAAAAGCCAGATTAAGTAAATGTATGTATTCTAGTTTACAGACAAGAGCGTCTCTATTACTGTGACCCTGTGACTGTCTTGTTTCACTGTGAGCATGTATCACGTCCTAACACCATGAGAGTGCACCTAGACAGACCAACAAAGTCTGATGATAGACCATGTCTGGATCTGTTTAGAGTCCCTTTGTGGGGCCCACATATTAATCTGTTCATCCATCCATTCTTTTTTAACCACTTTATCCAATACAGCGTTGGCAGATACCTGGAGCCTATCCTAACAAGCAATGAGTACAAGCCAGAATGCACCCTAGATGGGACGCCGGTCCATTCCAGGGCACACAGACACACACATGTAAACGCTCACAGTGGGGCGCGTTTTTCTATCAGCCCGTTAGCCTAGCAGTATGTTTTTGGACTGTGGGAGTGTGTAATAATCATAAATTACAGTTCAATCCAGGAATAGGAACACTCAAAATCTCTTTTTTGTTGCTTTTTATTTATTGAAGACGACGTGTCTTAGACAGGTAGTGTCATGGGATTTACAGCCTTCCACTTACTGTTTGGGGCCCTTAATCGGAGTCCTATGGGACTGGCGGTCTGAAGGATGCCCCAAAAGAACCATGTTGGTGCTGGGGAGCAGTGAGGCAGGTGTGTGTGTTTAGTGGGGTTCCACAGTGTGCTCACACAATTACATAAACTCAGTGAAGTAACACAAATGAGATGTGATTGAAAGAGGGCCCTAGAGAGATTGGAAGATAAATGCTCCCTCTTTAGATATCAATAATTCACACTGAAACCAGGGGAGGCCAATACATGCTTGATCATCAGATAGTCTTTCATCTTGTCCTCCTAAGGTCTGTTCCAGCACAAATGTGAAGTGACTGAGAGGGAACTGGGCTTGAGGGTGATTGATTGCAGTTGATATCACAAAAATAAACTACTTACAAAAGTAAATCTTTCCACAACTCTGTAATTAACTTGCTTATCAATACTTGTTTCCTCTCAAGTGCTTTTTGCAAATGGTAGTAAATTATGACTGATGAAATATCTAGTTATTTCTAAAGACAGTCTGTAAGGAAATTAAGAAATTATGTGGTATACTTTGTGTAGTACATACATGCAAAAAAGGTATTTTGAAGACATGACAAAAACAAAGCTGGCACTTTCAAATATTCCATATTTTTCCAGTGGGCTTTAAAACCCTGAGTATCGTTGTTTCCCAGTCCTGCTGCAAAGCAATGCTTTCAATTGAGAATATTAATATTCTTTGATTGTAATAGCTGTATGTAGCTTTTAAATGGACAAAACACTACATTGAAAGCAATACACTATTTGAAGGATGAACAAGGAGTTCATTTATTTATCCGCTTTAAACTGGCATCCTTAAATACTTATGTTTAAATTCAGGTTTTCACTTCTTTTCAGTAGCTTTTTTGATCTTCCTGTAACATTTTTGCAACAGCAAAAGACCACTTTAGAGAAAATCACTACTTGAAACCATGCGAAAAAGAACACAAAGGGTATAAACTACTTTAAAAAAAAAATATTGTGGAGATTTATCCATTCAATCTAGCCCTTTTCAAGCAGGACTACCTGCTTAATCCAATACCTTGTTGAACCAGAGACTAACCCAGCAGACAGGGGGAGAGCAAGGCAAATTCTAGCCTGTAGTAGATAGGATGCCAGCCCATCACAGCATAACAGATTCTTTATATACACTGTATGTATTATACCACAGCTCAGGTAAGTGGTACAGGTAAGGTAGTATGTTTGTAGGCAAGAAACACAACATTTAGATGGAGCTCAAAAAGGGAAGACTGCCCTCGGCCTTTGGTCCACTCAAGGCAGCGCTACTCTCCCTCGAGAGAGGTTGGCCAGACATCTCTCCCGTCCTCCTGCTGCCCTGGTGTCTGCCAAGCGTCTCTGTGGCAGTCCCACTGCATTAGTTATTAATAAAGCCCTTAATGGAGAATTGATCTCTATTGGCTGTCCTCCCACGGACACTTCCCTTAACCGTTTCCATCCTCCCTGGCCAGCACTAGAACAGGAGAGCCCCTTTCCGTAAACAAGATGAGGTTACACCTAGCTATACAGCTAGCGTCTAGGAGCCACTTGCTCTGAAAAGACCCTCGTTTCCTGTTGCTTTGAGCTTCGACGTGAAAGGTGTATAATCCCTCAGAGACAGAGAAGGCAGGGCCTGCTTCAGGTCTTATGTCAAGCCACCAGCACCAGACTCCTTCTCCCTTTTTATTTTCCATCCCTTGACTACACTTCTAATGTCCTGCAGTTAAAGTGGCAGGGTTGGTTCCTGTCTGGAGTGGTATTACTCGGAGAAGAAACTGATTAATTCCACAGTAGAAAGTCTGTGTGTAGAATTAAGATCAAAACTAACTGAATGGATAATGCAGGTAACTAGGGGGGGAAGCTTTCTAGTCTTGGAACTATGCCATTTTTTGTGGATTACTTTTTATGATTCCAAAGCAAAGTTTAAATCTTATCTGCTAACTTGGTGTTGACTTTTCAGTAATAGTTGGCCTGTTGGATAGACATGCAAGCTGTTGTATTGTAGATGTGCATTCCTAAACATTTAGATAGTAAGTTTTATTCTTTTATGTCATTATTACCCGAGTACATACTTTTTCTTTTTATGCAAATCACTCTTCTAAATATTTTAAACTAGTAGACAGTTGCAATGAAATTGGTTTTTAGGTGTTTAATGTACCTCAGAACATTTGTGAACACAAAATGAGACTGAATTGTAATCTCGATTTACATATATCAATTGGATATGAAACATCCTGCTCTACTTGTGTTATGCAGGAAAAAGCGCTCATGAAAGTCATGTTTAAATTCAGGTTTTCACATTTGTAGTTTTTCTGATCTTCCTGAACCACTTTTACCCCACAGCAAATAACTACTTAAGAGCAAATCACTCCTTGTAGCTATGTGAAAAGAAACATAAAGACTTAAAATGTTTTGACTGTCAGTTATGATCACTGGTTTCAGAGAAACTAAGTACCATGGAGTACTATAAGATAGTCGATGATATAGATTGGAAACATTTTAACATTTCATGGTAAAATTACAATCACAATTCAAAGACTCAACTTATGAGCCTATCTTGATGCTTGTACTGTGCCACTTTTTGTGTAAGTAGGTTTTATGTTCTAATGGAACAAGTAATAGGTTTATTCCATGCTGAAAAAAAGAAGAAAGAGAACACAACGTTTCAGAACGTTGTGTTCTCTTCTTTTTTTCAGCATGGAATAAACCTATTACTTGTTCCTTTGCAGGCTACGCATGCTGACGCAGCTACCACCTGAACTACTACTTTATGTTCTAATGCTGAACATTTTTTATTGTGATGCTGAGATTACTGTATCTTCTCTGCAGTAATTGTAGCACTTAAATGTAACATATTACCATATAAAAAGTAACGACATACTGCACATTGTTAATTTCAATTTTATAATGTAATTACCACTTATTATGTATGTATTTCCCTTGTTTGCTTTATTCCCCTACTGTGTTCCCTTTGTCTCCTGTGTTTGATATGATGGAATATCAGTGCAGCTATCTTTTTAGAAAGGTGATAAGAAATATCAAAGCCACCATCATATTCTTTGCTCCCCAGTGTTGGAGAATGTGATATTATGGAGCTAAAACACAAAAATACTGATATCTCCTATGTGGAATTCTCTTTTGTCCAACAGGAAGTGTGTCATGGAATGGGAGGAGCCTCATGACAGTGCTCTGTACTGTATCCAGAGCGATGGGAACCACATGATCGCCAGTGGCTCCTCCTACTATGGAGTGGTGAGGCTCTGGGACAAACGACAGACCCGATGTTTACAGGTATGGCTTCCTGAAGTTAATCAGGACATTTCCAGGCCAGATAGTGTCTGATTTTTAAACATAATAGTATTCCTTTGCCATGTTTTTTATTTTGATAATAGTTTAAACTATACATATATTGCTTAATGTGTAATGCATGATGCTGATTTTGCTTCTGTTTTGGTGATTTTTAAAAGGGTAAATGAGTTATGGATGTCACTGCTGGAAGATTATCCACTTCTGCAGCTGTAGGTTGGCATCTCATTCTGTATTAATTTCTTCCCATGGAAACCATAACCTTGCTTGTACTATGTTATTGGGTGACATAAAGAGAAAGCAAGTGTCTTAAAAGTGCTTGGTGATTAAGAAATGTCTTGTAAAGTACAGATTCTCTTCAGTGGTGCATCCAGCCTTTAATTTCTTACACAGCTGACTCTTCCTCTCCTTTTAGAATTTGTTGATTGTTGGACTAGTCAGCCTGTTTGATGAGGAATGCACATTGCAAGCTTTTTGCCATTTGCAGCATTTTATTTAGTGATGTCAACTTTTGGCAGTTGTGAGGTGTGGATGTCTCTGCAGGCAGTACGTTAAAACCCCTCTTTCTTGCTGTTGTTGCAGACCTTCTCTCTGTCCTCCCCAACTAGCAGCCCAGTGTACTGCCTGCGCTTCAACACCACCCACCTCTACGCTGCCCTGGCCACTGGCCTCTACGCACTGGATTTTAAAAGACCAGAGTCACGAGGAAGAAAGTGACAGCTCCTGCAGACTTATGTAGGCTACCCATAATGTTGTAGCCCCCTCATCTTGACGAGCAACATGTAGGACTTAGAATGCTTGCTGTGCAGTCAAGTCAGATCGGATGCCTTTTCTTTTAAAAAAAATATTGGTCTTGATTTTGAAAGAGGCCTCATAGCCTTATCCCTTCTTTTTTTTTTAAACGTTCCTAGCTTCTTTTTCCAATGGGCCTGTACGCAGACTCTTTCAAAGCAAGAAAAAAAAATCATCAGCATCACGTATTGTAAGAGGACGCGGAAGGGGCATCGTTCGGTTTCTAGATTTTCAAATTCCAGCCGCAGCCAGACGTGCAGCAAGTGTGAAAGACAAGTCCCTTGTATTGGAGTAGACCAGAAAAGTCACTCCAGTTGTGCCTATTGTGTTTCCCATCTGCTAAGACACTCCACAGCTTTAAGCCAAAAGGTCTTACTTGTGCCAAATTGTAATACGTTGCTGATCCAAGAAAAAGCAAACATCCCGTAAGGAAAGCCAGACTGCCAAAGGTGTTTCGGTCGCAGGATTCAAATATGGACCTTGACAAAGAGAAGAGAGATATGAGATCAACGTTCCAGGTTTAAAATCATCTTTCACAACTGTTTCTCTTACCTTTTTATACAATATTTAAATAAATCACATGCTGTGCACAGTCTGGAGTGAATATACTTAACACGCTTACATTGAAACAACATGTACTGATCATACATGGGGGCATCTGGGGGTAGATAAAATATGGGCTTATCTTTTTTTTTACCTCGGGGTTAATGGTGTTCTGTTAATTTTTAAAATATGTTTTTTAAAAAGTTTTCTGATGGGATTAATAGTATCTTTACATGTACCTTTTTAGAATAAACATATGCTGCCATTAGTAATACGCTAGAGATGCTGCAGCCTGCTGAGCACAGAATTGCAGTACATTGCTTTTCTATTTGGACTTGGACTTGATTGCTTAGTGATTGCATCATAGCCATCACTACAACAGTAGTGTATTTGGACAGGCCCTGGATTTGAGTCACCAGGCACACCCAAGAGCGCCCAATCCACACGGACAAGGGCTGAACCCACTATGTCAATTGACACAGCCCCGTGCTAGGGTGAATTTCAAAACTCTTGAGAATCCTGGCGAATGATTTTACCCCATGTGTTCAAGTCCCAGTCTTTTGGGAGACAAAATGCAAAGTGAAGTTACTTCCAGTTGTTCCACATGAGATGGAGCCGGGTGAATAATTGCTCATTTAAAGCTTTTGTATCATTTCAAAGAAAAAAATAGATTGCAGAATAATCAACAAGCCTGCTGTGGCATTTTGTCTGTGATACCCTTTTGACTTTGACAAAGTAGACAGCTGCTCAACTTAGTATATTAGTAACTTGGGAATTAGTCAGGAACAGTAAAGAAAATTGCCTTCAGTCTCTCCTTTTGTGCATCTGCAGTTTTCAAGACTTTAAAATGTGTTGTGTGTATGTACATATTCCGAAATGTGATGCTCCTTAACACTTCTCACTGTAGCAAACTAAATTTAGTTAACACATCTTCCTGGTGTATGCAGTGCTGTACAACTTTGAATTTTGTAGGCTTTAATACAGACTTTTCTTTTAAATCAACAGTAGTCTGTTTTATTTTAATGTTTGAGCTGAATGTGGAATGACAATTTATTTACTTCACTAAATAGAATTCATTTCAGTTATTTACCCCTTCCAGCTGCACCTTGGGTGTTTTTTGTGTGCAAGATAGCTATATTAAAAAAAGTCATTTTATTTAAGATAATTTATTTTGACAGTATACCCTGTTCTCAAAATTGAATTTGAAATCTCTGTATGAGTCTGCTCTGAAGCTTGATCACTGAATGTGGTTATTTGACATTCCTGTAATTTATTTTCTCTCTAAGTCATTGCATCATAGCATATTGTAATGTATACCACATTAAATCACCTGAGTTTGTTCCAACACCAGAGGTTACCCTGGAAGGTGGACATGTGACATGCACACTGGAGCAACTAAACCGTAGCATACGTTTACCAAACGCCTTACACAGTGAGACCCCCCAAAAAAGAAGAAAAAACATTATTGAAATCAAGAACAAGAAAAGCTCTGCTCATAGTCTGGCAAAGTCAATTATGACACCAGAACTTTAAAGCCTGCATTTTCTTGCAGCATAGAAACTTAACTTTTTAGAGGCCACATTTCTACTTGGGGTTAACGCTGACTTGTGTCTTACGGCAGTGTCTGCAGCTAAGAGGGATCTAGCACTTGCATGTAATCTTCTTGGAATGCTTTGTTTCAGATGGTACTGTCCTATCAGACACGGTTTAACGTTCTCATGCCTGAAACAAAGAAAACACACAGCAGTACTGAATCAGAAATGATCCACAATCATTCTCATATTGTTTTCCTTTAAATCAATTTCTTATGGTGTTGTAAATGACTTATTTTAAACTACCTTTATTCTTTACTTCAAAAACAGACAAGTTTCTGATACTGACATACTACATAAGCATTTTGTTTAATTTCCTTTACTTTAGTAACACCAGTTGGACTAAAACCAAATATTGCTTGTAGCCTTACTTTCCACTTACAATTTGGTGATATGTTCTGCAGAAAGCACGATTAAACAGTCTGTCGTAGTGTGTGTTAAATTCTGCAGAACAGCTAGTCCGCAGTGAAGAAGCCCAGGGGGAACAAAGGTCAGGCTTCTTTAAGGGCGGAAAGGTGGGTGGCCAGTCCTGGGGCATGTAGTGTGAGTCTGACATCTGTTGCTTGCAGGGGTAACAAGTGGAATGTCACCTTCGAAATGCTGTTCTTCATTTCACTGTCCCATTTTACAGTGCTTTACAGGTACTTAACAGGAGTTACACATCATTGTTACAGCCAACGTGCCAACACATGTCTTGACATCTGGTAATCCAGGGCCTATGAAAACAAATTTCTTACTCCACAGAAGTTAAAGCCCAGGGATTTTTCATTCTTTTTCAGTCTATACTGAAACGGCGTGCTAGAATGCATCTTTGTTAGTTTGAACACTTAAAAACACACTCTTAGATCAAAAGTTATTAGTAGCTATCCACATTTTCAGACCCATAATCATAGTGTCATTGAAACTAAAATAGGTTTTTCAGTTTATTCCTTCATATACATGCCCACATACCTATGCTTTTACATGATTCAAATTTAAAACAATTCATTATAACCATGTATCTTAAAGGAAGACATTTTTATGTTAAACCAGGATTGGTGAAAAATGTTACAACCCTCTTGATTTATGGGCAGATGATAAAGCACTGATAACCACAATGCCAATTGTAAGATAATACGATATATTTTCTAGTTGTTAAAAATGGGCAAAAGTTATTAATCACCAGTGTTAATTTAGTTCCCAGTTTTTGATTTAGTTATAGTCATCTAAAATGTCTATTAATCATAGTCAATTTCAAGTCACCCACTTAAAATTTACTATAATTTTGACTATAATTAGTCTTACTTTTAGTTGACCAAAACAGAATTGGATTTAGTCACATATTAGTCAAGCAGTTTAATTTGTCTGTATAATAAAATATAGAAAGGTATAAAAAATATATTTCTAAGAAAATATTTAACACATCTGATAAAATTCTGTCAAATAGCACAAGTCTTTGTTGCACAGCCTAAAGTGTATTAATCCCCAGGAAGATCAAATGTCAAATACAATAAATAATTGTGCTATAAAGGGTTAGTAATAAATCTTTTACAGAAACATTATATGAATCTTTCCTAATCTCTTTTGGCACTGTTAACAATAATTACAATAATTACTTTTATAATTTTTCAAAGTTTCAAAGCAATATTAGTATAAATGTATTCACTAGGCTCCTGACAATCCTGAAGTAGACATAATTCTAGGGGAATTAATGCATGAGTTACTTCAAAATACTACTGGACAGGACAAGTAATATACTGTATACAGTACATTATTTAATTCACTGGTATAACTTATTAATAACTAGTCCTTTTGATGCTATAATATTTCAGTCAAAAAACTGCCCTAGTCTAAGAGTAGTCTAAATGTTAATGACATCGTGCTAACAAAGTGACAGGCCTTTGCTTTAGGTCTGTCACAAGACCTTCGCTCAATTCCGAAAACTGTCAGCAGTTACATATCAAAAAAGGAACTTTTTCAAGAGCAAAATATTTGCCAGGAAAGTACTTTATTTCTTTTCTTACACCCTATACAAAAACAGGCAAAAAACAAGAGAAAATGTGCAAATTGGCATATGCATACAAAGATGCTATACCATCATGTATTTTTAGACTGAAAGTCTATACTTTGTGGCTATGGCCTGCATCTGGGCCCGTCTGTGAGTTATCAGGAGCAGATCATTGTGTTTTACAGTCTACCTCTCCATCACTTGTGGCCTTCATCTTCTTCAGCTCTCTCAGAAGCTCCTGTTCCAGCAGCAGAATCTCCTTGGGCTTCTGATACTGCAGGTGAGGAGAGACAAACACATCTGTAAGTATCTGGCACCAGTGGGCCTCTTTCTCCATCTCGGCTCATCTTTAATGCAGCTTTCACACTACTCCCATTTCCTATGAGCCACATCTAGGTAAAATAAGTTTTCTAGTCTTGGTGGACTTGGTGTGATAATGAAAAGCATTACTAGCATAAAATATTAATGATTTTTTTTTGTTTCACTACTTTTTATTTTCTATACTAAACACATAAATTGAGGTATCTACAATGATAAAATACTAATTTGCCATACTTTGAAGTGTGAAAGTATGTATCCTTCATTCTAACATTTAAATCCTCTATAAACATATTCCAGCTCACCTACTGAGGCTTTTCAAAATATTATAACCAATAAACTTGATGTTACTCACACTTGCACAGTCCATATTCTGTTATACTAGTTATACTACAAAGGAAGAAGGTTTAAAAAACTTAAGTGTAAAAATAACATTTTGTATCTCTTGGAGCTCACTCGCTCTTGTGTACGAATCTACTTTTCAGAGGAAGCATCCTTTATAGCAGTGAGCTACCCCCAATTACAAGCAGTGCCCCCCTCCCCCATTCATTTCAACTCCAAAGATCAGTAGTAAATTTCACCAAACTTACACTGATGATCAAAGTATTGTTAGCATGGGCAAAGCTGAAAGCAGAGCTATCCAGAGGCAGCTGGCTCCGGTCTAGGTCTGGAATGGAGAACTTCTTAAAATACCTGCACAGGACAGGGTAAAACAACAATACTAATTACTTAATACTGTACGGCAGCGTATAGTCTTTACAATTCCTCTAAGGTCATTCAGTTCGCTTTCTACTCACAGAAATTGTTTTTTTTGACAGTGCAGACTAGCATTGACATAAACAGCCTCTTAATCTATGGCATTGAAGTTGTGCTGTTAGCTGTTGTTCTTAGGTCTTAGGTCTTTCTTGGATTAATATGAAGTCATTGTAAATTGCTGCATCTCTTCTCAAGGGTTTCATTGTTAAAGCTTCAGCTAAAAATAAATCCTGTATTGCTGCAATTAATTCCAACTATGAAAAAACTGAGCACCAGCACACCTTGAGCAGCAGTGTCCTCCATCTGTAACTGCTGTGTTGGTGTTTTCCTTTAATCTAAGAATAAAGCTACAAGTAAAACTAGTATTATCAAATGGATGTATCCCTTACCTAAACAAATATCATAACTACTAATAAGACCACACCTAGGGGACACTTATAGCACAGAACTTTCAGCACTGTTCATTTGGAAGAAGAGTCCGTTTGTAGTGCATTAAAACCTGCTTTCTTCCAAGTTCAGACTGTGGCTACCCACAAAATACTGCCTCATTTAACCAGGTCTCTTCTCAGTGTGCGCCATGCCAGCCTAATGCAGCTGCACTGAGTACAGTCAGTGACAATGAACGGCATCAGCTAAACCACTTTATAAGAAAGTCATTTTCCAGACTGGAGTGACATATGTTTGGTTTGTTGGCCCTTTGCTGCCGTGATCATTGAAAGAGTGCAATAGGTCATGCATACAACAGCTATAAGTTATATGGCATCCAGAAGGATAGTTTGTGACTTTAAGAAAGGTGTTTGAAAAATTCAAGCTACCCTTAATTTTCATTACTTTAAAACTTGATAATCGTCTCTTTAATTAGATTGATTTGTTGTAGCTTGCAAAATTATTGCAAGGTTTGTGTTAAAACGTTAACATGTCATCATGAAGGCTGTAAAAAGCAGGACTGATCGTTTTTTTTTCCAATCTCATAAACTAAAGATGAACTGTGGTTTGGTTGACTTTATTTGTATAACAGACAATTCAAGATATTATTAGCAAAGGGGTAGAGTGACTTAGCCAAAGACTTAGTTTCCTGGGGACTCTGCAGCGAGGCCAAGAGGATTTACAGGAATTAACTAAAAAGACACATGTAACAGTGTATCCTTTGGGATAATCCAGAGTTCCCTCTCTCTTTGGTTTCTGGCATTTGCCACCTCCAAATGTGCATTTTTGCCATGTCTGTAACTACTGGGGTTATTGCTGGGGTGGTAAATCCTAATCAGCTGTCTCTTGACAACAATAAAGTTAAAAATAACTATACACATAAACTTTGGTTTATATTTATGGTACATTGATGTCCACGTACATGTTTTTAACAACATTGCACATTGCACAGGTGTGCTCATGGAAATGTCCTGCCACATTTTTGTACCTGTCCTACTCTTGTGAAGGCTTGGCTGACCTGAGAAAATAATGTCCCCTTTAACACAAGCATCTTAAACTGATGCAGAACTTTTATAACACTTAATTGTAAATTATAACTATTTAAAAAATCTGAAACCAGTTATAAAAAGTAAGTTCTTCAACTGCCAGAGTCCCTATCCCAGTCATTCATCGCAAAAAGAGATATGACTGTAGAAAAGATGCATAGGGAATGTTGGAAGCCCAAGGAAGCTATTCAGCTCACCAAGGTTCATCCTTGTTAGACTGTTTCCCCTGGAGTGGTATCCAGTTCCTTTTTGAATAATGCTGTTAACCATGATCCCTCCATTCATAGGGATATTTGCACTAGTTTCCAGTCCCATTGACCTTTGTGGTGAACGTCATAATGACTGAGGTCAAAATGAACCTGAAGTGCAACACTGTATACCCATTTGCACAGTCGGGGTGAGTATTCTTCTACCAATAACATTAAATAGGGTCTTTATCACTCAGGATAAAGCAAATCTCACTCTTAAAACATAATCTCACTGTAGTGGACAGATATTTTTCCCTTTTAATATGGGATTCTGGGTTGAACTGATCATTGTCTACAATGCTTACTCATACAGAATACTCCATGATAATAAAGACTGCATTTGTTGTCAATTTAATTTCTAATCATGTTGGAGGATACAGGACAAGCTGCCACAAAAAAAAGAGTTACTTGAATAATGTAATGTAGTTGTGTAAATTGTAAAGCTGGCTCCTGAACTGATGCGACACGATGTCAAACCACTCCAGTGGGAATGGTGGATAAGTTAACTGCATCCGACTGAGACCTGAGGCAGAAGGCAGGAATGAAATTTAGGACTTATAATGGCATCGCTGGGGCTGTAGGCCTTCATTGTAGGGATTTGTGGGATTATGCAGCACACCTGAGAAACCAGCACTAACCCAAAGAAAAACATACGTTTTCCTCCCATAATATTATTTTTTTCTTTACTCAGAAAAGCCATTCTTAAAGCAGAGTGAGTGATGTAGCACTTGCCTGTACGTGCATCTTAGATTCTGTAATACTCAGATGCATCACGTTTGTTTTATGATGAACAGACAGCCTGGGGATAAGGGATGTTTCAAGTGCAGTTTTTGCACCTGTGCTAACCTCACCAAAAGTTACAGATGAGGCAAGGGGAAACATCAGCTTGGAAGGCCTGCCATTGACTGCTGTGAAAGCAAATGGGAATTATTTACATTTCTCACAATCTTATACTTAAACCAAGATTTGGCAATGTGTTGCATTAAACATCGAATAACTATATAAGAGACTTGTTTTACATTATGTACACAGATACATTCAGTTGAGTATGATCACTTAGAAAAAGCTTCTAATTCTCACTAATCCAAGGAAGAAGGTTGATCTTGAGGAGAACCCTTACAAAAAAAATTTAGGTAGAAGAAAACACTTCAAGGACATTAGTGATTTGCTGGTGAGATTGCTGGCTTAGCATCTTTTTAAAGGCCTGAGTTACAATTGTATTCCCTAGCCAGACTCTATACACGAACCCTGGGAAACCAAGCTTTTTCTGTGAAAGCAAATTATTTAACAGAGGAGAAACAGTATCCTCCTGCAAAGTCCCTGCCAAGATGCAGGGATTCCAGCAATCTGGGGGATTTTAAAGCAGCTGGGTGGCGCAGTGGGACTGGAATAACATTTGAAGAAGCCTGTGGTATAGCTCGGTCTTATCTGGCCACCTGCAATACCACTCTAAAGACATATACATGTTTCCTACTACAGGAACCTATTCTGTGCTGTCTTTAGTTCCTGGATAGTATGTCATACGCTCCTTTTTAATAAGTGTCAAATACAGGGGAAGTGATGATCTTCATATTTAATGTGGACCTTGGTTAAGATGAGAGTATTTCACTACTACACATTATTCTACGCCAATACTGCCATCTATGGGGAGAGAGATGGAAATGCCATTTTATGTAAATACACAGTAGAGGGCACATCAATCAAATATTGGGAACAATGAACCTAACCATTGTACTCATGAATCTGTAGTTCATCCTATTCATTTAACTAAAGACACATGCTACATCCAAATCAGCTAAATATTTCAATATTCTTCATTTAACAATATTCTCCTAATATACTCCTAAAAAACATTAGGAATTAAAAATGTAAGTGCACTTTTAGTCCAAATATAAGACATGTCATTCTGGTTTTAAAACAACTTTTGACTCATATCTCACTATAGAGAAGACTTTCTGCAGTATTAAAATGACTATTTTACTCTGTATACTAAATTGTCAATATGTGTTTAACTTTAGCAGTGCAGATTTTTTGGTTTCACTTGCTTTTCATGATTATATTCTGTGACATTTCCTAGCTTGAAAGCTAAGTACTGTAGATGGAGTGCTTCACCTGTTATGAACAATGAGTAACGTATGGATTACTTTTTGTTGGTTGTCCGGACAATGCAGCAACGTTCTGTCTGCTCCACAGAAAGGCTGTAGACCTCTTTGGGATAAGGAAGGTTGCGGATTCTCCACTGAAAACATGTTTTGGTGTCTTTGCGCACGAACACAGGCTGAAAAAAGCAAGGTGACATTCAGGTGATATTTCCTAAAATGTTAAAATGACTGTATACTAAGGGTCTTTCCTGCAGTAACATGTATTTGTTTATATGGAGTATGTTAACAACTGCATTATCATTATAATCTAGACATTTTAAATTATTTTATCAATTTGTTTATTTCTGCCACTACTTTTAATTTCATTTAAACTAGAGGAGTTCCCTGCTCTGTCTCCCATCTGTGACGTCTCATGTTTATTTCTTGGTGCATCTTAATAATCATGACCTCATTTCCCCTAGGACTGTGGGAAATGACAACTATTCCAACAAAGAATTAAAAGGATGAAAGTGGTGTACAAATTGCATTCCTGTGGGGTCTGTGTTCTGTCTCACAGAATTTGTTACCTTGTTTATTGTATGTTGTAGTTATTAGATTCAGTACATTAAAAAAATGTTCCCAGTAATGAGGACCATCTAGCTCAGTTTGGATTTTTAGTATCTAATTGATTCAAGCAGCTTATTCAAGCATGTTTTGAAAAGGCCCAGGATATCAACTTGACTGACTTGGCTAAGCTCCCTGTGTCATATGCCCAGAGAAGTTGTGTAAACTACTCTTCTCTTCACTGTAGTTACCTCTCGCATCCTAAGCTTTGTCTTTTACTGTTGGTTCTGTAGACGTTCGTAGGAATGACTGGCATAAACTGAGCCCTAATCTGCTTTTTTAGACTTTAATCAAACACTGAATATACGCACCGTTTTTTTCTGGTTGTGAAAGGATCCACACTAACGTTTCAATATGTATCACACCTTTCAACATGAAAATGAAAGTCTGTTTTCACAGCTGTGCATTTTGCAATACAATTAAAATGCCCTCTTGATGACTGCTTTCAGAGCAATCCTGAGGGTGTGCATGAGAGAGTTCACGTACATTAGAGCTATTTTCCTTTATCAGCTGAGACTCCTGGGCACCTGAAATGGAAGGTCCAGGCTCCCCCACTTCAATTTCCCATTGTCTCTGTGCACCCAGTGCATTCTTCACTCGCGACTTTCGAACTGGAAAAGAAATACAATAGACAAAAGGGCAAAAGCTGCTTTTAGGAATTATTCGTTAAGTTCATCATTCCACAGGAAAAAAAACAAAACAATAAGAGAAATTCTACATTAGTAAAAACTTACGAGTGACAAAAATACAAATTTCATCAAATCCATGTTTAATATAGCTATCACTTACCAATTAATTCATCTGTCTTTATGTCGTATTCTTCTGCCATCTCTTTGCCGTCTGAAAATAGATAATGCACTTTTCTCTTTCCTGCATAAGAAGGAAAAAGAAATCAAAGTTTTCACTTTAAGATGCTCTCAAAGGCTAGTGATGGGCAGATCAGAACTGTCATTGCGCTCACTGTAAAACAAGAACGATCAGACAAACCTCTTTAGACACAGGCATTAAGAATATAAAAATAAAATATTGATACATTTACATTCAAAGTTAGTTCAACTGGCTGTTTCTAGGTATTTCATCGCACGTGTGCATACAAAACTACTCTAAAGAGCCAAAAGCGTTAAATCTAGCATATATCTAAATGGGGTTTCATTAGGACTATGCTACTAATAATGTTATGATGTTACGATTAGTTTACCATCCTGTATTAAAGCCGTTTTCTTTGTAGCTTTCAACGAGTCGAGCCAGCACTGCACCGCCATGTTCACAAAACAGCCACTTCCTTCTGACCCCACGCTCTGCCCGTTGTCATGACAACCACAGACCGTTAACGTACATGGTAATAGGAATAACCCAATAATAATCTTAAATATTTTCATAACTTAATTAATTTAAATATTACTCAATGTTATATTTATAACACAATTAACAACATCGACGTTTTTTTATTATATTATTATATTATTTTAGCTGTGTTTTTAAACGACCCGGAACTTCTATGCTATTTAAACCTGAAACCTTTAAAGCTCGTTACGCAAAGCGAGGTAAGGGAGTTTGTTTTAAATGTAGTTTAAATGTTTTTAAACTAATTATTGTAGTTTAAATAACAATGTGGTGCTATTTACAAAAAATGTACATATCACTTAATAGATACATACTGTATATAATACATATAGATGTCAGTATCTCTGTGTACAATATGCTTCATGGTCTTCTCAACAATATTTCGTAACAACCTGCCAATAAGAGCAACCTAAACCCATACGAGTACAATGTATATTACAGTTCTTTTATGTTCAGAATTGCTGTTTTATTCATACTGCAGAATACGACAGCACAAGTGATCAACAATGATAAGCATCCAGAACAGATTTGGCGCGTATTCCAGAAAGTCCCGAAACGTTTTGTGGCGCAGTTCCACTCCAGTATTCCGGCAGCATTGCTTTCAGTCGAGGTTTTAATGAGTGTAACCGTGTGGGGGGATTAAGCTGCATGTTCCAACAGTTCCACTTGTAGTACTGGATTTAGATCTTGTAATTGTTCTGACTAGGGATGGTAATGAAAATCTGTCCATACGTTTCTCAGGCCAACCATACATTTCCTACGTTTGTAAAGATTTAAGAGGTGGTCATAATATTTTCAACAATGAAAGCATGTTCATTGTAGAACAGATAGTTTATACATATTAATGTTTTGTTTTTGTTTTAATTCAAAGGGTGAAGGGTAAATATCTACACCAATATCTCCTAAACAAATCTGTTTTGCAGGGTACGTTCTAAATTTTCATCACGGCTACTAAATATCTTAAGATGCTTTGTAATTTCTTGCTCTCCCGTCACCTAGGACAGTGAATGTATGGAGGCCCGTGGTATTGTAAAAGCATTTCGGAAAGTGAAAAGAATTGGCCATCAGTTGGAGAAAGAAGAAGAACCCCAGAATAAGAAGCAACAGAAGGAGCTGGTTACAGGTAACTGCTTACACTGTGAAATGTCTGCTTTGAGCTCTGAACTACATTGATACCCCAAACTTGATGGAAATTATCCCTAGATTACATTAGACAAATTTGCTGTGTTAGAATCAGATTTGTGTTTGGGAATATTTATAGTGTTCGATTTCCTATTGTTATGAAGGATAAAGAATAGTGTGATGTCAATTTTCTTGCTTTGTACACTTCCCAGCTATAAACGTATGGGACATATTTTAAGGGGCAATAAGTATTGCAGGCAGTAGGAATTTGTAATGGAAAATTCTAAGAAGACATATTTCCTTTTTGTATTAAATCTGTTTGGGGAGTTTGAAAATATTAATTTCTAATGGAGATAATTAATAGTTCTAGTATTTAAGAAACAGAGCAATGCATACCATTGTATGAAATCACATTTCTTCATGCCACCTGCTGTGTTTTCTCTTCTGTTTCAGGCACATGGTTAAATGGTATATGTGCTTATATCATCCAAACTGGGATTGGAAATGCAAGAGCTACAATTTTTCAGACACAAATTGTCCAGAATGGGGGCCAAGTTGTGGACACCTTTTCCCCCTGTGTCACCCATGTTATTGTGGATGACTCTATGAATTATGATCGTGCTTTGCGCCTTCTGAAGGTAGACAAGCTTCCCCCTGCAGTACAGCTGGTGAAGTGCTCTTGGCTGAGTCTGTGCATCACTGAAAAGAAGCTTCTCAACACTGCAGGCTACAGTGTATTCATCCCTGACAGGTGCCCTTTGCATTGTATACAGAAAGAAATGTACCCCTCCTCCAGCCCCTTTTATAAATCTGTTTTGTGCTTGTCTTGGAGGGTTGGGGTGGTAGCATGTCTAGTAATGTTGACCACATATCTATTTTTCCATTAACAGATTCCATCTCTTCCTTGGTGATTTTCTAAGTGTTTACAGAAATCAAAAGCCCATCAAAAGTTATATTTTCTCCAGCTTGATCTTAATTGTCTTCGAGGTTTCTGTCCAGTGGGGTTGTACCTGGTGGAGCTCAAATACCAGGGTTCTGGACTACCTCAAATGTCTCTTCTTTAAATTAGTGAACATTGCAGAACAGTTGTCTTTAGTATAGCTTTAATATCTCTAATTTTTTTCCAGCCTCACATTTACACTTTTATTTAATACAAAGTATATTTGCAATGCTCTTAATTATTAATTGCATTTATATAGCACTTTTCATCCCTGAGGATTTCAAAGCAATTAATGTGCATGAAAGGACCACATCATTCATCACTTAAATGATGCTGTACCCACCTGGATGATGCTCAAGGAGTTCCACTACACAGCAGATCAGATGGAGAAGTGAGAAATGACTTGACATACCAAATTAAGTGTATCCTTCGAGAAGGCCAGATGTATAAACCGAGTGTGGAATTTACCCAGGATGTCAAAGTTAACAGCCCTATGCTAACGTATAGTGCCATGTTATCTTTAATGACTAAGCAGTCAGAACCATGGTTTAACATCTCATCTGAAGTGTTTTCTGTCACCCTACCGTAGCATTTGATTTGGGAATTCTGGTCTTGAGCTAAGACTGCCACTTACTGGTCCAACAATACATTACAGCAGCAATTTAGAAACGTTAGTGGACTCCCATTTCAATATTGATCAGGTCTAGCATTTCTTAGGTTCTGAGATCTCGCCAGATTAGACTAGAAGGTGGAAACACTGTTGTTATAAAATTTTCATACAGGACATAGCCTTGTTGAAATGAACATACTTGAACATAGGGGAATCGTTCAGTACTTCCATAAGTATTCCATTCTCATGTCAGGTCAGCTTTCTCCTTGAGTATCTCTGCTAAACCTGTGTGGTGCACAAGGCCAGTCTGACACATATTAATTTATTTATGGCTCCTTTTCCTTTCTTTGTGTTTGTTTTTGTCACATACATGTTAACGTTTTGTCTAGACTGCTTGATTCAGTGTGACCCATCCTTTTTATGCAAACATAAAAAATCCTCAAGCAAAATGGCAGTTCAAATAAAGAAAGGAGTATCATATTCCTGGATAATTTGCTTGGAATGGTTGACTGGTTGAAGTTCACACTTACTAATTAGGTTTAATTATTTCATTATGTGGATAAGGTTAACAGTCTATTCAGGGCTATGAATGTTTTTTTTACATATTATGTTTAAATTAAGTACCTCCTTTAAGTTACATGCCTGAAAAAATGTCCATCCATTAGAGCTAATAATTATCAATTAAATTGTCTTAAACTAGAATTAAACTTAAACTGGAAAGACTAAGTAGTACATTCTGTGGTGAATATGAATCTGACATTCTTAGAGATATTCTGTCACTCGTATATTAGTTTATGAAGTGAGTATAACAGACATATGCTGTAAACGTCATTCTGTTCTAGAATTCAGTATATGTAGATGGATCATGTGTGATGATGCACACCTACTAACCAATGTAGTTAATACCATTTCCTCTCTATTTGATTTTTTACAATACAGAAACCTGGATTCCAATCATGAGCAAGTAAAGGTAAATTCTCTTAATGGTAATGGATCTGCATTGGGAATTCATGTTCAACAGACAAATAATAAGCAGAAGACAGAGAAAGAGGCTACAGTTTCAAAGACTGTCCAGATAGAGGAGTCTGCATCACTGAACACAATTATTTCCAGTCACAGAGCACAGGTATCCTGCCTTATATTAATACATACAATATTTATTTGCTTGTAATTTTGAGGTTGTAAAATACATTTTTGTTGTAATGCAGATGCTTAACTACAGTTGTTTTCCAAATAGTCAATAATATAATAATACAATAACATGCAAGAAAACGCCCAGGATGCTACGATTTTTACCAAATGTTTTGTATCACTTTAGTATTGCTCTGCTAGAATGCCAAGACTCACAACATTTGCTCCAAGAATACATCTGCACACAGTGAAAACACAGTAGTCCTTTTCACATATTTGGGCACAAACATAGTTACATAGTTATCATGACATAGATTTAGTAGTATTGTTCTTTGGGAAAACAAAATACCAAGCTCAGGTCGAGTGAATTCATAAAAACAATAACAGTCATTAGTATTTGAATTTAAATTAGCTAAAATGAGTTGATTAAAACATCTGTGTACAACATCATATAAAAAAAAACATTATTTTAATTTATGTGAGAAGAGATATGACAATACACCACTTGAGAAATGAAGACCCGTCTGGTTGATATTTACCAGAAAGGACTGGCATCTTAATCAAATGCCTCTGTTGCAGATTTAGAACTATCTTACTGCTAGAAATTGGCACACTTTTTCTGTTCCTGCCAGCCTATCCAGCCTATGTCGTTTCTGGAAGGACAATGTAACACCACACAGTTCTTGTGTTACAAAGGCACAAGTTAAGAAAACAGTGTTAAGATTCTGCTATAGCTATTTTTTCTTCCTGACAAAAGTAGAACATATGTGGAACAACTGTTCAATCTTCACTAGTTTGCTGCAGCTGTTCAGGAGAAGTGGCAGAACGTTACACAGCTGTTCATAATGTACAGAGGTTGATCTACCCTGTGTATCAACACTGCTATTAAGTATTTTAATTCTTATGGAGGCCATACCTAAGACTAACCTTCTGTTTCCATTTTGCCAGTATGTCACATTTAATAGTGAAAACTGATTATTTGATGTGTGTTTTAACTTTTTAAAAGTTAAAACTGTGATTGTTTGATATCTGCTCAAACTATTTGATTAAATCCACCTGATTGTTTTGTTTATGTAGTTCATCAACATATTTTGGGGTTAAAATACTATTGAGCTTAGTTTCGTGCCATTTCACATAAAACAAGACCATCAAAATATGTATTGTGACAAAACACATCTGTTTTTCCTCTTGCCATTTTATTTCAAAGTGAATTTCAAAGTCTGTTATTCTTGTTGCTGTTCTGACTTTAATAGACTTCAGATGATGATGGGAGTGATACTGAAGAGGCTGGTGTCTCCCAGAAAGATCTGGAAGCTCTTCTCACAGGCTGCTACCCCACTACAGAGGAACCCAGCCCCGCACAACCAGACCCTGTCACTGGGAAATGGGTCTGTGCTCAGTCCTCAAAAGCAAAGAATGACAATCACAATCAGCACATCACAGACAAGCTGGAAGTTCTGGCCAAGGCTTACACACACCAAGGGGACAAGTGGAGAGCATTGGGATACTCCAAAGCCATCAATGCCCTCAAGAGCTACCACAAACCTGTCTCTTCATATGAGGTAGAAACCACAGTGCCATACTAAACAAGAGTCTTCCAATTCAGCATGTTTAAAAGCTACAATGAATCTATAGTTAAATAATCCAGTAGTAAGGATTAAACTGAGTTCTCTAGCTAAGTTTAAATGTGGTGTTACTATTGGCTGTTGCATTAACCAGACAATGATAAGCTTAATGGCTCCCTTTCATTTATAAACTTTCTGATGACATTTACTGTAGATATAATTTATTATCAAATATGTAGAATGGAACACTGTAAAGAATAAGTAAAGATTATTAAAAAGTAGGAAGAAACAACATTTCAGCTTTTGACTGTTTTCAAAAATCACCTGATTCCAGTTTTTTTACACCTCTCCCCCTGACCCCTTTCATGTGGAAAGTCATCTCTCACCTGTGCCCATTCTCACTGATTCTGTCCTTTGGCTTTACTATATATTCCAGCCACTGTACTTTCTCTGATTCACACCTGTAGAAGGCTCATCCGAAATTGAAATATTATATATGTGGCTAATATATCATATGTGGTTGATCTAATTAAAAAATCTAGGAAAGATACATTGGTTTAAAAGGAGCAAGATACCTTTATCATTCTGATATTAAGTGCCCTTTTTCTATTTACAGGAGGCTTGTAAGATACGGGGTATAGGGAAGCGCATGGCAGAGAAGATCAAAGAGATCCTGGAAAGTGGGAACCTTCGCAAACTTGATCACATTGGAGAAAGCGTGCCAGTGCTGGAGCTCTTCACCAACATCTGGGGGGTCGGATCCAAGACTGCCCAGATGTGGTATCAGCAGGTACCATTTGGAAAGGGTCTGGGTCTGGGTCACAAAAACTGATCTCAACACTTTTTTTTTAAATATCGCTTATTTAAAGATGCTCAGGAAGTTTAAATAGAACATCTTTTCACATTTTCTACCTCTCTCTTGTATGTGAAGGGTTTTCGCACTCTGGAAGACATCCGCACCAAAGCCACTCTTACAAGCCAGCAGGTGATTGGACTGAAGCACTATGATGACTTCCTGGATAGAATGCCAAGGGAGGAGGCTGCTGAGATTGAGAAAACGGTAATATTTAGTTATTATGTACTGCTATACTAGAAGTGTAAGGTACAGATCAGATTATAATTATGTGTTCCACTTCATGTGTCTTTTATTAGTAGTGTTTTATCATGAAAGCAACTTTCATGTTTATTTTTCTAACAATTTAAATTTACTCATTTGGTCCAAAGTCAGATATGACTGCATGTTTTGTCTCAACGGTGAAGCATTTAAATAAGCAATTTTTCAGGTTTTGGTGCTCTGATGAGTTATGCATGTTAAATACTGAATAAAACAAAGGAAAGAGCAATTGCCCACAATTAAAATTCCTCTTGCATTTATAAAAAAAAACAAGTTTCATCGTGAGCATTCCATTTTCTGCATCTTGAACACTTAACTTGGAGCTGGAAAGTAGCTATGAAGTTAAGTGTCTAGAAATGGTTAAAATCTCTTTCTTGTGTTTGTGTTAACGGAAGCTTTGCAGTTTTGTTTGAATTTTCTCTTGTTTACCTGCTCCATGGAAAAAAAAAACTAAAGGCCCCTCTTTGAACACTATCAATCCAGTTCCCTTTTAGAGCACTGTATTTAAAATCAAAATAAGAAAGAGAGGGCAAATGTGACTGACAGGTCCTACCGTGCTGTCCTGCCTCCTTACAGTAACCATAGCAGCAGCAACCACCCCAGTCCTGTCAGTCAGCTATGGGTACTGGACCTGAAGAATACAGGCCATCCTGGAGACCTCCAGTCCCTCTCTCCCCGGCATTCCTCCTGTCCTAAATAAAAGGAGACAAAAAAGCAGATTCGAGAATCTCGTCCCACTTCGCAAGTCAATCATTAGAATCCCGATTGTCAGCCTGAGAGTTGAGGACTAATCCTATTGTTTTTCTTATGGGATTACTCGTCCTAGATCTCTCGCTCCCATTGGGTCTGTCCAGGAGAATAGGGGGATTAAGGGGATTAGCCTGTGTCCTCCTAACTTGTCAAACTGAGATCTAAGGAGCCATTGACTTCTCTGACTTCAATGAGACAGACACCTAAATAATAATAATAAAAGCCTTTGAAAAAAGAAAAATGTCTAAAGGAACAATGCAATTTGTTTGCTGTTGTCCCTTTAACTTGGATGAAAGGTTCAAAAAGACTCCAAAATACAGGGAAGGAGCATTTTAACAGGGATGAAGGTGGAATTTAATGGAATAATTTTCTTCTGCCCTGAAAAAACAATGCCCAAAATATTTCAGAAAGGATATTCTTTAAAAATACAGATTTTAAAATAACTTCAGGAAGAGAATGAAAGTAGCAACATTTTATTGGGGTTTTTGAAGTATGAGCATCGCAATTGTATATTACATCACTCATGGACTTCAGTTCCTTAATAACAGGTATCCAGGCTATGAAGTTTTACTGGATGTCTCAAATTCCATAATGTCAAAACCTGCAAATATTTCATTTGTCTTTTGAATTAAAATAAGCATGCCCTGGTAGTTTTAGAAAAGGTTACATTGTTTACAGACTTGCCCAGTGCTTGTTTTACTTGAATAACTCCATTGCCGATATGCAACTATTCATAAGGGAGTGGCTCAATGAAAAGGAATAGGAGCTTAAAATAGTTCAGGTGGATAGCTGTGTCAGCATGCGTAATCTGCAAAGGAACAAGTAAAAGGTTTATTCCATGCTGAAAAGAGAAGAGAGAAAATGCAATGTTTTGGCTGTAAAGTCTTCTTCAGGTGTCACCAGTATGGTATGTTTTTAGCCTTTCATAACCTACATTAAGCACCAGACTCACTCCTACATTAGAAAGCATGATCTGCAGTCTTTTTCATTGAATTGTTGAGGTAATAAAATATTTTTAATGCAAAACACCTGTAGAAAGAGCCTACATGTTTCTTCTTCTTACTTTTCAGCATGGAATTAGCCTTTACTTGTTCGTTTATGTTTCAAATAACTCACCATGTCTTGTAAATTGCAGCAATTGACAAGTAAAAAATGTAATTCCAAGTTAAAGTCTTGCATAAAAGAAGATATTCTGTTTCAACACTTTTTCAGTGGTTTCACAGGCCCTCATTAACACTAAACTACCTAGTGTTATTTCATAATTAAAATAATGTCTGGGACTACACAGCAATTTTTAATTTGTGAATCCAGATCATATTATATTCTGGCAAGGCTGACAGAAGCCTAGTATCTTTGAAATGCAAATATTAATAAAACTATCTAATTCCAAGGGATGGTTTTTTTCAAAAAAACTCCAAGTGGCCTTGTTTGAAAAGTTCCAGCCTCTTTGCATTGCCTGTTGTGTGAGCTCAGGTGAAGGAAGCGGCTCTGTCTTTGAACCCGGGGCTGCTGGCGGTGGCGTGCGGCTCCTACCGAAGAGGGAAACCCACCTGTGGAGATGTAGACATTCTCATCACTCACCCAGATGGGAAATCCCACAAGGGCATCTTCAGTAAAATACTGCACATCCTCCATCAAAGTGGTATGATGAGTACATATGATTTCCCATTGTTACCATTCCTTCCTACTGTGTGCTTTATTTATTTTTATTGCGTACAAATTTATTTTAAACAATATGAATGAATGTAAATTGCTGATGCAGCTGTAACCAAAACAATAAATTATGATAGCTTTGTTTAGCTGCAAACTCCTTTCAATGACATCAGTTTTACTAATTCCTTGAATACTTTTTTCTTGGTTAAACTTATAACTTTATGGTCAGCCATTAATTTATTTGCTTTATGTAATCGAATATAATATTTTCATATAAACAGGTTTGATTTTCTGCATACTCTAGCACAGATAGAAAAACATTATTTCTTGGCCTTAAAGGGAGTTTGTCATGGCTGTTATTAGGGAAGAACCTTTGGGAAAAGACCATGCTTTTGTAAAAAGAATATCATGATACCTGTGAAGACGTGTTGTTGAAATCCTGTGCAGAATCCTGTGCTGAGGAGAGAGCCTCTTTAACCACTGTCACTCCAAAATTAGTTCAACACTTTGCTCTTTATGATCAAGGCTTTCTGACAGATGATCTGGTCAGCCATGAGGAGAATGGGGAACAGAAGAAGTACCTGGGGGTGTGCCGTCTGCCAGGCCCCGAGTCCTGCCACCGTCGACTGGACATCATTGTGGTGCCTTACAGTGAGTTTGCCTGCGCCATCTTGTACTTCACTGGCTCGGCTCACTTCAACCGCTCCATGAGGGCTCTGGCCAAAACGAAGAACATGAGCCTGTCGGAGCATTCACTCAACAAGGATGTGCTGCGACAGGGCAGCCTGAAGGTGAGCACAGGCGCCCCCCTTCCCACGCCCACAGAGAAGGATGTCTTCAGGCACCTGGGTCTGCCCTACAGGGAGCCACAGGACAGAGACTGGTGAGGGCCCTCTGTACAGGTCTGTGTAAAGACGTGCGCATTACTGCTTTGAGGAAGAGCTGCTAGAATCCAAGGTCTCAGCTGTGACTTGTGACAGGTTGGGAGGAGTTCTATGAAATTAAAAAGAGTCATTTTATTTGCTGGACATACTTAAACGTAAATGAATGTCAGTGAGTTTTCCTCAAATTGGTTCTTAGAGAAGAATGTGAAGGTAGACCGTTGAATAATGTGCACAGTAAAACTGTAGCAGGAGCCTTGAGACTGGTTTTAACTTGATCTTTTAGACCGTGAATGAAGTCCTTTTAAGCCACTGAGATAACCCTCCAGAACGTAACAGGGACTAAAATAATTTCCTGATTTTACAAACCTTTCTGTAGAGCTAATGAAAGATATCATAACTGATTTTAACATATTTTTCCCGTATAATGTATTTAGTACTTTTTATTTATAGCTTCATCTGTCCCCTATGAATTGTTGGGGGCTTAAACTGGATCAAATATATTTTTTCTGGATTTATAATGAGGCTTATTATGCAAAGCCACATCCATGCAGATAATAAAATATGAATATTATTGCCTTTACATGTGTTGGATTTGGACTGTATGCTGCACATTGTTGGTGGTGGAGGGCAGTCCCCATTACCTGTAAAGCGCTTTGAGTGGAGTGTCCAGAAAAGCGCTATATAAGTGTAAGCAATTAATTAAAGTAAATAAAACCTGTTCTAAAATAAATCATAAAGCGTCCTTTAAATTAGATTAAGAAAAGTATATCCAAGAGCGAGATTTTTAACTTGCAAGTTTAAAGAGTTATGGTTGTATTATAAAGAAATCGTAATTTTCACAAAACTGAAACTACAGTCCACAACTGGCGAAATACGAAGTTGTGTAAATGGTGGAATTGCGCGCCATCGTGTGGCTGCAAAATAAATCCGAATTTTGAATCTCTCGTGATCTACTCGAGAGTTCCGTGTGGTATTTCGGAAATATGCGCTATGCATTGAGCAAGATGCATAAAAAATATTAAAATGTGGAGGAGCGGACTCTTCATACCAAATATAAATAAATAAAAACTGTTTTTAAAATGTAAATTGAATGTGTATTAGTAGGTATAGAAAATGGGGTTTCAATTTCCACTGTAATATACAAACCACAAAATAAAAGATTGAAACAATCTTGTGCTGATTCATTTATTAATACATTGTAAGAATTGTGTGATAATTGTAGCATTGATTTGAAATACTATCAAATATTATTGATATTTAACTGCCTCTGTAGATGATTCTGATTTTCCCAAGGGCTTAATTTTTCCTCTTCATTTTCTGTGTATTGAGCTTGAAAAACATGTCTTAAGACCAAGTGTTCACAATTTGCTCCGCAAGTCCTGTAAAAGAAGTGCTTTATGGAAAACATTGAATGTGTTTTGTTCAATAATTATCAACACTTACAAGATATTAAGAACTTGAATTGGAATTCTATCAAAACATTGACATACAATTCTAGAATTACTATTTTAAACTTTTAAAAGTTGAAAAATGTACACTTTCCAATCCATTTACAGCTTCCAGAAGATCTCATTCCATTCAGATATCAATGTAATGCTTACAAAAGAAAATGCAAAGTCTTACAGGCTATTACTTTGTCATCTCTGAACTAGAATAGATAAATGAAAAGGGTATTTATAATCAAAAAGTTTTATTTTATCATAACATGGCAAGCTTAAGCTTTCTTAACAGACTTGCATACAAGCTGTTGACATTGCTTAGGAATGTATTTGAATTACTTTATCATTTGAAATGATACTCTAAAAAATCTGAAGGCCCAGAAAATGTATTTAAGCCACTTTTTTATATTCTGGTGCCCTTTATTTCAGAAGTACAGAGTTAAGAGTTTTCTTGAAAACTGATATGAAAACAGCTCAAATTTCTAAATGAAAGTTAGGCATAGCTTGGTGTCTTCTGCTGACAGGATACTAGAGACAAATATGGTGCTATAGATAAACTTTATGTGCAGGGGAGAACTTTTATCTCTAATTCAAAACCCATACTCCATAATATATAAAACATGACATTAGAACTCATTGCCCAACCTAAGGATTACTTCTGAGGTTGAGATATTAAACACGAATGATTACACGGTATAACCTACAAAATCACACCTAGTGAAACTGGGATGATCATTTTAAAATGTAATTTCTAAAGATTGGAGCAATATCAATCTGACCAATGAGAATGATTATTTGTTAATGTCATTCAGACATGTACACAATCACACCAGGGTTACTTTTCCCAGAAGCCAAGTTCCCAACCAGCATGTGTTTGGACTATGGTGGGAGGAAATTGAAGAATAAGGGGAGAACATACAAACTTCACGCAGATAGCACTCCATGAATTGAACCCAGGGTTAACGGGTTGAAATCAATTACAAATCCCATTCGAATTGTATAGCTGAAAGCATATATATATAAATATCCAAATAGAAACGGGACTGAATTAGCCTGTGATAAAGATCTTGACTGGGACAAAAACAGAAGACACAGACAGACAAACCAGACGAAGCCCCTCTACAGGACAGCAGCAGTTGGTTTGGTACATTGCAAGTTATAGTACGCATCTGGGGACAACCTTAAGCTGCTATAGTAGTTGTAATTAGAATTTTGTCTAACGAGCGTTCTGATTCCAGGATCATCCTCATCTACTCCGTGTATTTCAATTTCCATTCAATTTATTTTTAGATAGGGCCTTTCACAACAAGGTTCCCCCAAAGGAATTGGCAATAGAAATAGCAATATAATCAGATTTATTCCCCTAATCAGTTTAATCACAATATTATTCTCTTAATCTACATGCAACCCCTTTGATTTTTAATGTCCCAAAATTCGGTTTGCAGGTGAAGTACAGAATTTCTTGCAGCCCTCAGTACTTTACGTTAAAATGTGGTGGTCCTTCTCTTACTATTACCATCACAGTGTTAAACAGCTCCATCACAATTTCCTGGTCACGCCTCTTCTCTCCTTTTCTTGTGACGTCAAACCCTTGTTCGCGGAGAAGTCAGCTGATAACGGGTTTAAAGAGACAGGAAGCACGTCGTCTTTGTTCTGCGTTTGTTACAAAATCCGAATAGCTGCAAAAACATGTCGTGTTTAGAAAGCCAAGAATGGGTTTTGGTTTCGAATTCATTATTTTCTACTCAATGTCTTTTGTCATGGAATATTTACAAATACAAAAATGAATATATTAGTACTTTTACACAACAGAGCACAAAAAGTTTTTTTGGCACGAAATTGGTTGTCATTAAATTGTTTTTCTTCTCCCTCTTAGTAATTTTATTACGTTCGCTTATAGCCATTTCAAGAATGAAAACACACTGATAATCTAACGTCTGCCTTTTGGTACTTTATTTTAATCCTCGGTCTTTTTTAGTCATTAAAGACATCGTTGGCTTAATCGTTGAAACTGTGACATGTCTTTTCTCTTTAGTGCTTGTAAATAATAATAATAATAATAATAATAATAATAATAATAATAATAATAACAACAACAACAATTTTTATATTGCTTCAAACAGCAGTGGTTAAAATTTTGGTTGGGCCTGTTGTGCCGTTAAAGAACCAGGTATTATTTTAAAGCTTCTTATCTGACCGGGTAAGACTAGCTGGGCCTGTTCAGTAGCGGGATGAGAAATCTTTGAGGAAAACCAGCTTTCTGCTGTTAGTACTGTTGGTAGACCAGTAGGTAGCGCACTCTCTGAGAACACTGCTGAAATTAAATCATCCTTTCGATGAGATACTGACTATTTAAAAGGGCGCAATTATCTGTTATTCTGGCTAAATTCTACAGTGGGATTGCAAAATTAATCTAAATTTTCCAGTTAGTTAAAATAGTGACGACATTTCACACTTTTTCATTGGTTCTTCTGTGAAATGGAGTAGTGGTTGTTTAAAGACTGTAATGTGCTGTGGAGTCATTTGGAATAAAAAGAGCTGCCTAAAATGCAGGAAATTAATTGAATTAATGTTATGAAATCTGTATTTAAATTACCTCAGATTTCAGGAGCTAAATCACATTAGCCGCCTGCCTGAGGAATGAAAGAAATGCCGCCAAAAGTCTGAAAATTGGTTATTTAAAGGTGATCTGTAACGCCTGATGGATTGTGGATCTCAAGGACTAGGGCTGGCCATCCCTGTGTTATGTGTTAGGAAGAACAACTCTTCCCCATTTCTTATAGGTAATACCATTACCTCTGTTTAAAAATATCAATAAAAACAGTAAAAATTAAATAAGACAGTGTATTTTGACATCATGCTAATCTTTATTCCGAGCTTTAATAATTATAATAATAATAAACTTTATTTTAGGTAGCTTCTCAAAGCACTTTACAGAATGACAATAACAATACATAAGAAGAATACAACAATAAATAAGAAGAATACACAAGATAAGTAACAATTACAATATAAAGAGGAGACCGTGGATGGTGGTACTAAGAAGAGCAGAGGGGTGAAGAATGGAACCAGTCAGCAGTGTTTTTCTGGAAATACGGAAATCCCCTTCTTGATAACCAAGCAAGAACCTTAGCATTTCCTGTCTCTTTAAATGCATTATCAGCTGACTTCCCCACAAACAAGAGAGCTCATGAAGTCACACCCAGCAAAGCGAAACCTACCTTGGCAGCGAGTATACGTCATATGATTGGCAGCCGGAAGAACCAGTAGAAGCTACGGTGATCGCAGACGTAAAGAAGTTTGTCCTCGAACGGGCCAATTGCAAAACAGCAAGAAGGCGGTGCTGTCGATGGCCCTTTCTTGCCCTGACAGAGGCAGTTGAGAGTTAAAGATCTATGTGAAATTTTGTTGAATTTTTATGTGCATGAATGTATGCGTTGTCAGTGAGAAGAAACGGGGGGTCATGAAGGACATGGAGTACCTTCTTCTTAAGATGAGCCTGCTTCTGTTCCACGCCAACCCCGTTAGCCTTACAGCAGAGACAGAGGTACGAAATGAAACGTTGAACATTGAGTGTTATTAGTATTTCGAGCTGTTGGCTATGATACTGCGGGTTGTTGCTCTGCTACAACTTGGGCTCTGCATTTTGCTCTCAGGTTCCCAGTCATATTTGTGTAAATGTAAACCTCCATGCGGTCTGCTGGACACGACGCAAGGTCGGTTCTTCATGCGTTTTACTTGTGATTTCGACGGTTAAAATCCGCTTGTGTGAAAACGTTCATCTTTAATTTGGATTTTAACGTTGGCGACAACTTTTAAGCTCAGACTGTTAGGATCCGAAACTTTTCCAAGTTGTGTGTTCGTTTGGGACCATCGGTTACTTCCACGGAAACGACTTACTTTTGGCGTACCTTCGACACCTCACCGCTTTAAACATTAACTTGCCTCCGTGGAACGATCTTGTTTTCCGGCGTATTTAATAAAGCGTGCAAATACCATTGTAATCGCGTAGAAATAAGGCGAATCAGATACGACAGGCTTGTTCCTGTATCCCGGACAGTAAAGAAACCGAAATGCTTCTCAGTGCCTGATCAGTACACGTACCGGTATCGGTCCGGATGATTTTAATATCTCGGGTATATTTTACCTGCTGGTGCCTTTTACTCAGATTTTTACGGAATCCGATTTAAACGACAATCCCCGCCAGGATCCAGTGTGTTTGTGTTCCTTTGTTTGTAAGGGTGATAGTACTGCTGCCATAGTAAGAGGGCACTATTCCTCTTTGCAGAAGTACCCCTGCCTCAAACTGGCAAAATTTGAGTCATTAAATTGGACCGGGTTGATTTGCTTGTTGGATCCCGTGCGATGCTTTTGAAGGGGGTAAATAGATCAAACATGGGAATGCGCTCTGGAAACGGCGTGCTTGAACTGTCTGGGTGCGCGTTTGCTCCCGGAGCCTTGGAGAGGTTGGCTGAATGCACAAGGGCCAGTTGTAAAACTTACCCAAGTACTGTACAGCTCCAGGGGGGTTTATTCAGAGAAACAGTCCTCAAGGTCACTTATTGAATTAAGTTTAAAAGTCACGAGTCCCGAGTCGCAGTCTAAAGGTCTGTGTTAAACTGCCGACATTATGAAAATAACTGGCTGGCATACTGTACATTGTTATGCTTGGAAGAGAGTACAGCAGCACAAGTACAAAACATCGTTTGTCCTGCTGGAACAGTGTGTATTGTGTATTTTACCTAAGTTTATAAGTTTAAAATGGAAACTCACTAAAGAGGACCTTTGGACATATCATACTTTATACCCCACTGTATGTGTTATGTATTCTGTAGTTATCTTCACCTGTATATGTTACAGTTATTAAGGTAGAGCACTAGTTTTGAAAGTACTGCACAGTTTTATTGATCGTTGTTAATAGAGTAGCAGTAGTTTGATAATGTGGAATGCTCCAATGGTTTAATCAAAGCACTCCCTTATCTGCGATTCATGCACAAAGACATCGGAGATATGTTACTGTGATTGTACATCGGTTATGTATGGGAAGCACAGCACGGATCATATTTCAGTTCTGTTTAACTCGCAGAACCCGCTGTCAAACACAAAGAGATGCGGATCACACTTTGCGTGCTATAAGCCATAAGACTACATTTTAATCAGAATGTTTTTGTTTGTAAGTGATTGTTGGCTTTTAAGGCTGTGAAGAAGTAAAGTTATTTCACACTCCTCACTTAATGTTTTGCATCTCTTCCAGTCATAAAGATGGAAGTTTCGTGGCTTAGTACTTAATCGCTTCCCACATTACTGACCGGCATAGAAAGGTGAAGAATGTCACTTTTCCCTTGTCTGTATCTTTTTTTCCATTGGTACTTTATAATCTCCATTGCCTTATAAAGCAGCCGAAAAAACCTTTAAACTGATTATCTGAAAGTTTGTAATGTAGCCAGAGTAAAAGAGTGTAGCAATTATGCAGAATAATTTGATGATATTAGAGGGCTACACTAACTTTTGGATATCGGTTATCACTTTATTGTGTGATTCGATGGGCACAATTGAAGAAATATGGTCAAATTGCCCTTTTTTGACTGCTAAACGAAGTGGGTGTTTTATAGTATGTTTTCTCCCACAAAAACATTCCCATTCTGTAGAAAGAACATGCTGTTCTGTGGGATAGGATGGTGCATGGGGCTATCTGGGTGTCATACTGTATGTCTGTGCAACAAGTCGACACAGAAGTCTGACATAAAGGTGTGATCTTAAATTTTCAGAACAACACTTAAAATTGGATTTTTTCCTGTGCTCATGTAATTTTTTTTTGTTTAATCCTTTCATTAACCGCATTGGTGTGTTGAAACCAGTTCACAGTGATAACATGGAGACCAGTTTATGCAGCTGGGTGCTTATAGAAGAACATGAGGGAGGTGTTTTGTTAAAGCCTTGTTTCCCAGCCTCCCTTGCTGCTGACCGGCTTCTTTCCCTGGAGCAATGCTGACTGGTCCCTGCTAGGACCTTGTAGGCGAAGCCAGAGAGGCACCGTTATGAGTGACTTCAAGCTTTTGAAATCCATTCTTTTTTTTTAACCTAAGCACTCTTCAAATTGGAGCTGGACTCTGGTACAAAAAAAGGTTGAGGAAAGTAATGCTAAATGGTACGACACAAGCATCTTGCATTCAGATTTGAAATCTCAAGACTTCAGAGCACTCTAATAAGTCTGTTTGTCACAACACTTTTCAACTACTGTTTGTGACTGTATAGGATTACTCAGGCTTCTTTACAATTGTTATTTTTCTTTTGACGTGTGTAGAGGGAAAGAGATATCTTTGCTTTTATTCTTTTTTTATGAGAAACAATTTCCTCTATCCTGTGATAACTGAATTGGAAAAAAAAATGGCCCTACCATTTATTTGTAATGTTGCTTCTAGACGTTGTTTTGGATAAGGTTCTATAGTCGGGCACTATCAGGGCATCATTATAAGCCATTTTGGAAAAATGTGTTTGGCTAGGCTATATTTTCAAGATGCCTTACCTTTTACGTTCATCTTGTTTGTTGCAAAACGTCTCTGTCTTGAAAGTTGCTGTACAAAATAAGACTTATTTTTCCCATTTCCCACAAATCTTAAGTTCTGAGAGGTAATTTCCTAAAAATAACGTTGAGATGTATGATCACACTTTTTGAGTCATTGCTGTACTAAATACAGTATTCAAACTGTTTTTTTAAGGTAGATAATTTCCTTATGGCTTTTGACTGTGGTTCCTTAATATTTTTGTCCTTCTGTCCTTAAGTGCATTTTCTGATACTCTGACATAACGTTCCAAAGAATCCAGCAGGATGTTATTCAGGGATCATTGGCATAAACGTTGTTGATCTGGCTCCTGGGATCCAATTAATTTAAATCTGGTCTTGTCCCATTTAGTCGGAATGTTTCTCAGAGGTGTAAGCTGGGACCTTTACTGTTTAATATTCACATGCTGCCTCTTGATCAGATCATTCCCATCATTGACTTGAGTTTGATTGTTATACTGGTGACACTCGGGTTCATTTGAAAGGCGATTTTAAAATGAAATCGGAAACTACAGTTGTAGAATCTTCACTTTACAGGGAGACAAGGGTTCAAAAGTTTTAAGTTAAACTATAGCAAAGGCAGACATTATGGTCATAGGCTCCATCATGAGTTTTGAAGAGTTTTTGACTTCAGTGTTGACTGTATTGAAATTAAACTTGATGAAAGCCTGAAACATTCGACACTGAGAATGTTAGATATACTTCTGATATTTTGTTTACCGAGTGCACAACATTGATTGGTTAAGACTCTTGCACTGCCTATCTGATGCTAAAAATATTGATGCTTTTATTTCTAACAAGATTTACTTAGTTGGCAGTGTAAAATTCCATAAACTACAGTTGTATTTGCTAATGATGGATCTTTAAAAAAGTGTTCCAGTTTCTTAGCATCCAGACAAAAGAACAGGGCACTTTATCAACCACGTTGACTCTGAAAATAAATTATAATTGCAATTTACAAAATTTGCTTGTACATAATATACTTGAAGTGTAGTGTACTGTATTTTATTTGAGCCTGTGCTGTACCCCAAAGATAATTTATTTGCTGAAATATGTTAGGTCTTCTGCTGCTTTACTGCTGTGCAATTACCTTAATTACCTTTTACAGCTACCTACTGTAGGTAGCTGTAAAAGCCCTGGGTATTTTTCTCTCTTTACATTTTGAAATATCTGCAGCAGTTAAACATTTCCTTTTCCAAAAAGGCACATTTTGACTTAAGTCTTCCAGAAGTCTCACATCTGTTTTTCTTCTCTTGTTCAGTTGACCTTTTGATGTAGTAACCTGTCCTCTTCCTAAATCACTTCAGTATTTAATATGTAGAACTCTTAAATAAAACCTTTGAGAGACAAATTTGTGTGTGGTATTTTTTTTTTCCCTAATGAAGGAATCTTAAAATGAAAAACTTATCTTGGCTTTTATCATTTATAACTATTTGTGTCGCATTTTCTTACAGTTGTCTTTGTTTTCGATTGTAGGCAAATGTAGTTTTTTTTTTCTGCTGGGCACGCTGATAGGGTCTGTTTTGGCAAAAAGAGTGCTGTCCTTGACTGTCTTTGGCTGACACATTTAATTGGGTCAGTTCTGTATTTTCTTTTCCTCTGAGGACGGAGGTCAGGGACCATTGCATTGTTTTACGTACTCTGCAGCCCACAGATATCATTACCAGGGCCAGGGCCATTGCAGTGGTGTTCCAATGTCCCAGTAAACAGTCAGCCTGCTGACCCTAAATGTCCTCATTGCGTACCATTTAAATGCCATCCTCAAGTAAACCTCTGCTATCTTGACAATAGAGGCTTTGCCCTGCAGTGATATTACTCGTGCTGATGTCATGGAGCATAATATACTGGGACTTGCTTCGAAACCCCCAAACCTAGAACACGGCCACCAATTCTGATTTGGAAAGGAATTGATAATGTCTCGGACACAAAGATGCACAATAAAGAATGAGGTATTAGGCTGCGCATCTATGGACATTTTCAACAGT